TGAATGCTGTGGAACCAGCTCTGTCAACCGGGCTGTCCCTAGACAGGTGTGGGGCCCGGGACAAATCAGCCCCTGCTGGCTTTAGGGCCCTGCTCTGCATTGGAGTCTGGGACTGCGGGACAGATCCGGCCTGGTACTTAGCTGCCTGCTGCTGTGGGGCAGCAGCCAAGACCCCGGGCGCAGGGCTGGCAGCTGATACCCTGGGTGCAGGGCTGGCAGCCGGGAGCCTGGGGGTGCTGCCTCACCCCCGCACACCTAGTTCCTGTGCCTATGTCTTCTGGGACTGACCGTGCCGGACAATCGCACCAGCCTGCAGAGGCCCCCAAAGCGCGGGGCCAGAGCAGTCGCCCTGATTCGCCCTACCCAAGAGACAGCACAGCTCTGTCTGTCAACATTGGTTGCCAAGTGCTGGTAGGTGGATCTGCCACAGGTTATATTCATTTATCTGGGCTGATAACATGGTGTGGAATACAGTGGTAACCTTGCTGCTGTGAATTAAATGGACCTCTTTCAGCTGAGGCATAGGCCCCTGAGTATGGTTCTGTTTACATCCAGTTTGATTATGACTCAAATGCAAAGCATTGAGCTGAATACTCAATACAGTTAGCTGAGAATCCTGCCCAAGATTTTAAAAAAATATCTAATGATTTTGAGTGCTGAAACTGAGGCTTCTTATAGGAGCCTGGTTTTTAAAAAGTGCTGATTACCTGCCTTCTGAAAAATCAGGCCTTTTAAAAATGTCTAAAGCTGGGCACCTAAAAGTTATAGTCACTCTTCTTTAAGCTGAGAAAGAGCTAATATATTAAGTATAACCTTTTTTTTTTTGCATTCTTTCCACCTTATTAAAAAACAGTTACACAGTGTGCATCTATAAATGCTTTACAGATCAAAATGTGGTCTATTCACATTCAGCTGTTTTTCCATTAAAAACAAATGTTTTGTCAGATGCAGAAACATAGGTATAGTCAGATTTGCTCAAAGAGAAAATGTTACAGAATAAGTGGTTTATACTGGGAGATGTTTTAAGGCTGAACATTCAAAAGCTTGTTTGTTTCCCCCCCAGATCACTATGGCACCATTAGGGTTGGTCAAAACATTTGTCAACTTTTTTTTAAATGTAAAATTGAATTTTTGACTAGTGAAAATTTTCACAGAAAGTATCTGATTTCCTAAAATAAAAATCTACTTTTTGTCCAAAACCCTCAAAAATACACTTCTACCCCGATATAACGCGACCCGATATAACACGAATTCGAATATAATGCGGTAAAGCAGTGCTCCGGGGAGGCAGGGCTGCGCACTCCGGCAGATCAAACAAGTTTGATATAACGCAGTTTCACCTATAACACGGTAAGATTTTTTGGCTCCCGAGGACAGCATTATATCAGGATAGAGGTGTATTTAGCTGTTTTTGTTGAGAAATGTTCAGTTTGGGGTTCCTAAACCAAAAATGTTGGGGTTTCAGTTTTTTTGAAAGTCTTTTTCCCACAAATATTTTCCAACCAGCTGTAATTACAAAAATTACAAAAATATAATTTCCTACTCTGTGCATTTTCTTTAACTGGAGATGTCCTGTCTAGGTAACAGAGGGGGCTGTAAAATCATTTTGTCAACAATATGTAGACACTTTCTCACACAAACTTTCATGTTACATATTATTTACAGAGGCTCATGAAACATAACACTCTTAGTTTTTAAATAGTATGGGGTACCTTTTTAGGAAAGCTGAGATCCAACATCCCTGTTTGTGATCACATTTTAATCCTGCATAATTTTGGCCCATTTTTTGCACTCACAGAATGCATTGTGGGTGCAAATGGGAATACTTCTCATAAGTTTTTGATTTATGCTTGTTGTCCAATTGCCCTTTTGATCATCTGGTCCTATAGGTACAAGTATGGAAATTAGTTATACCACATTATTTGCTCTAGTAAGTAACATTTGCATTTAGTTTGAAAATGTACACATAGATCTGAATGATTCACTGAATCCTGTTACTCGGAACAAGAGGACTTCCCCTTTAGAATTATAATATCAACATACGATAGTCTCTCTGTAATTATGTCTATTGATAATTTTGTACTAGGTAGCAATATATTATACTTCTGGCTATGAATAAATATCAAGAGTCAGATTCACATTTACACTGTTCTGGTAATGCACAGGTGATGTAAAGTGGGTGTAAGGTTAACTACATTAAGCATTAGGTATTATTGAGATGTCTCTGGTCTCTAGCAGGAATAGAAGGTCCATTATTTTGTCCCTTTCAGTAGAACAGCAGGATGCTGAAAAGGGGACAGGGCTGGTGATTCTGTACCAACCTACTGGCTGATACTAAATCCACACTCCTATGTACAGGAAGCACAACTGGGGATATTGTGCCTGTCTGTTTGAAACACAATTTCCCCTATGTCTCTCCTGGGGAAGTGCAGCTCTACATTGCCCCCTGCTTAAGGCTTGGGGTTAAATGCCAACATCTAGTTCATTCTGAGCACATAACTTCTACTAACATCCATGGGAGATATGGGTACGCCCAGCCACTGTAAATGGCAACGTGATCATGAGTTCAGGGAATTGTTCTTCAGGGTCAACACCCTGGTGATCAACAGGAGCAACTGGCACTAAATATCACACAAAGTTTCTATAGGTGTGAAGAAAAAAATCCATGGTGTTGAATATGAAGTAAGTGTGCGCACATGCATACACACAACAGCAAACTATAGATAGTCACTTTAACTTTCATGTTGTTGTCTGAACATTCCTGAACCCAAACTTTACTGAATTTCCATCCTTCACAATCTTTTATTATTTTAAAGGGATTTTACCCATAGAATTGAAGCCAACCTTATTTTTTGCCAAATAGTATCAGATAGTTTTCTTCTTACCCGCTCTTTTATTTTTGGTGTGTTTTCAATCTCACTCAAAGGTCACTCAAATTGCATAAGCATCTTTGGACAAGTGACAGAATGACAGTAAATTAAACTATCATAATTCCCAGTTCCTTTTATCCTCTGACCAAGCTTAATAACTCCCTAACTGAATAACTGACCATACACTAATTCTGATCCTATAGATGGCAACAGTTACTGAGAAAGAAGACATATTCTGAGATTTGAAGAACAGATAAACCAACACTGGCTAAAACAAATAACTGATAAATTACCAATTAAGACAATTGCTCCCACTTCTGTTATTCAGCTAACATCAGGGCAAAACAACAGTTGCTGAGTAGAATCACTAACTTAAATCAGGAGCAGCTTCATTGATTACAGGAGAGTTACACTATATTTAAATGACAGCAGGATCACAATTTTCAGGGATTTGGTCTCCAAAGTCAACATCCTGCAGCTCAACAACTGCAGTGAAAGCTCTGAATCTTCTCTGTAAATGCCAGGACAGGAAAGAACAAAACATGCCATTGTTTTTATTATACTAGGGCAAATCTGGAGTCACTGGTGTCAACAACAGCAAAATCTTTGCCAGCATTCCCAGTGCTTAACACCCACCAGCCAGCGTCTCCCTTAACACTGACGTGCTTTCTTCCACACTGGACCGTATGCATGGGGAAAATTCCCGATAAAATCCCAACAGCTACTACCATATCCTCCTTCAAATCCCTCCTTAAAACTCTCTTCCATGATGTCTACAAATCCCAGCCTGCTGATCATGGCTAGACAGGTGACAAGCTCTTTCCCTTCTTTTCTTTTTTTCTACTCCCGACCTCTATCCCCACTTAAAAAAAAAAAAGCAACAATAGTGTAACTATCAAAGCTTTGCCAATTCTTCTCCAGACTCGTTTTTGCTTGTATGTTAGTCTCCATCCCCTATCCTTCCTTTGTTTGGCCTTGTCTAGACTGGCGGGGGGAAAGATTCTTTTCTCACATGAGTTATCTCAATCTAGCTAGTTTAACTCAATGAAAACTCTACTCACCACCAGCGTAGACACAGTTAACACTGTTAGCGCAATCTTAGCAAGTTGAGCCATAGTCTAGCCTCATCACTAGGCTTGAATGCAATCAGTTTAGCATGTGCTGAAGTACAATTGCTTTGTCTTGACTAAAGTTTAGAAAGTCTAGACTGAGCTAGGTATCTTCATCTAACAGGATACTTCTAAATCCTTCTCTAGACTAGGCCTTTTGGACAGATTTTCAAAGGTCTTTAGGCACCAAAATGCCTTTGAAAATCTGAGAGACAAAATGGGTGAGGTAATATCTTTTACTGAACCAACTTCTGCTGATGAAAGAGCTAACCAATCTGTTCCACTTTATATTTAGCTGTGACACTCAGATTATTTTTCCCAGGCCTGAAGAAGAGCTCTGTGTAAGCTTGAAAGCTTGTCTCTATCACCAACAGAAGTTGGTCCAATAAAAGATATTACCTCACCCATCTTGTCTCTCTAATATTCTAGAACCAACATGGCTACAACACAAATTTGAAAATCTGACCCTTTTTGTCTTTGACTGACAACCCTTCAACGCAGAGATTCTCTTTTCTGTATTTGCACAGAACCCAGCACAGTGAGGTCCTATTGAGGCCTTTTAGAACAGACATAATATAAATAATTCCTAGTAATAATTATAATAATTAATAATAAACAAACTGCACGATAGTAGTTCTGGGGCCTGACAACGCCTCTTGAAAAAACAGCTTGACCAGAGATAAAAGCATTTACCACAAATGATAGAAGGTTGTTCCTGCTTAATATAGCCTTTAATACTTATGTATGGGATTTTTCAAAGGCGCCTCAGGGAATTTGGTACCTCCTTCCCATCAAAATTCAAGGAAAATCCCCCTTTAAGTCCAATTGTGAATATTAAATGGTACTAAAATAATTCATAGAATGAACTAAAAAGCCGGATCTCCTACTTACACTGGTTTGACACTTTTGTAACTCCACTGGCCTCAGTGAAGTTACTCCTAATTTATAGTGGTGTAAGAGGAGAATCAGGCCCATAATGTTTTTCCTCTGCATAATACAGCTAGTTCCTAAAAGTTCTTACCTTTTTAGTGGGCATTTTTATTTTAAGAAATTCTGCTTCTCGACTAAGCACATTCCAAGGTGCATGTATCCGCACAAAGCTCAATCCATGGCTTTTATTCTGAAACAGAAAAAAAGTGAAAATGATATCTTTCAGTAAGGAAAGTACAGCTGCAAGATTTCAAAGTGCTAAAAACCTCTTGTACATCACACAAAGCAGAAGCAGCTAATTACAATATAAAATTACTATTACTGTACAGCTGCTATCACATTACTGGAGGGGTGTAAATGAAAGCATAACGCATCGTCCCACCAGAAGCACCTTTTATTTTCTTTACACAACAGCAGTGCACCATTTCTTAACTTATGGTATTGCTAATCATACAAGTGCTGTATTTACAGTGTCAACTAACATTTACTACTATAGGGCAGCTCTGTAGTCATGAAGCTATCGTGAAAGTTAGGAAGAACCCTAAGAAAGAGTCATAACTGTTAAAAATAGTACCAGAACACAACTGCTGGCTTAACTCTTCTCCCACTGAAGTCAATGAGAAAACTCCCTCCAATGGGAGCAGAGATCAGCCAGTGCTGAACTATTTTGAAAATCCTACCCTTAGCGTTTGATAAGCACTCAAGCGGCAGATAGCTGGTTGCAACCTTTCTTCACTTCCTCTTCCTTCCTACAGATGATGTAGTTGCAAGAGGAAATAGGTGTAAACTCTTACCTATTAGACGTCACCTATTGGATAAACTGTAATCTGAATCATTTCTACTCATAAACAACATCTTATAACAATGACAGTTCAACATAAATATGAGAGCTGGTCAGAAAATGAGGGGTTTTTTTCCTGTGAGACAAGGTGGATGAGGTAATATCTTTTATGGGATCAATGTCTGTTGAAAGAAACCAGCTTTCGAGCTACAGAGAGTTCTTCAGTCTGGGAAAGATACTCAGAGTGTCACAGTTAAATACAAGGTGGAACAGATTGTTTGTTTAGCATAAGTAGTTGACACATAAGTGACCATTTAAGGTGAAATGTTGCTTTAATACCTCTGCAGTTATAGGACAAAATTGGGGCAGAGGAGGGGTTAGTGGGTTACAGATTGTTGTAATAAGCCATAAATCCAGTGTTTTTATTCAGACCATGATATTTAGTGTCTAGCAAAGTTACAGATTTAAGCTCCCAGGTTTGTCTTTTGAATGTGCTGTGCAGGTTTCCTTTGAGGACAGGGACTGAGAGGTCAGATATGGAGTGATTGTCTTGCGAAAAGTTTTCGCCCACGGGTGATATGGAGTTTTTGTCTTTCATCATTTTTCTGTGAGAGTTCATTTGAGAGTGTAGTGATTGTCTGGTTTTACCCACATAATTGTTATTGGGGCATTTAGTGCACTGGATGACTTACACCACATGTTCTGATAGGCGTGTGTAGGACCCCCTAGATCTTGAAGGTGTGTGGTTGTTAGGTTTTGTGTGGAAATTTTGACTTTTTGTTGAAAAACCAAAGGTTTTCATTCAAAAAACAAATCCTTTAGTTTTTTTTGGGGGGGGGGGGGTTTCAATGAAAATTCAAAAATGTCTGTGAAAAGCAGAGAGTTTTCACAAAAAAGTTCACTGAGTCAAATACTCAATTTTCCCTTGAAAAACAATTTCAACAGAAATTTTTTGGCCAGCTTTATTAAATATTTCTTCATAGAATCATAGAGTCATAGAATATCAGGGTTGGAAGGGACCTCAGGAGGTCATCTAGTCCAACCCCCTGCTCAAAGCAGGACCAATCCCCAACTAAATCACCCCAGCCAGGGCTTCATCAAGCCTGACCTTAAAAACCTCTAAGGAAGGAGATTCCACCACCTCCCTAGGTAACCCATTCCAGTGCTTCACCACCCTCCTAGTGAAAACGTTTTTCCTAATATCCAACCTAAACCTCCCCCACTGCAACTTGAGACCATTATTCTTTGTTCTGTCATCTGCTAGAACAAATGTTCTGTCATCTGCTAGATCTAGGCTGTTCTCAGTGAGAACAGCCTAGATCCATCCTCTTTGGAACCACCTTTCAGGTAGTTGAAAGCAACTATCAAATCCCCCCTCATTCTTCTCTTCTGCAGAAGAATCCCAGTTCCCTCAGCCTCTCCTCATAAGTCATGTGCTCCAGACCCCTAATCATTTTTGTTGCCTTCCGCTGGACTCTTTCCAATTTTTCCACATCCTTCTTGTAGTGTGGGGCCCAAAACTGGACACAGTACTCCAGATGAGGCCTCACCAATGTCGAATGGAGGGGAATGATCATGTTCCTCGATCTGCTGGCAATGCCCATACTTATACAGCCCAAAATGCCGTTAGCCTTCTTGGCAACAAGGGCACACTATCGACTCATATCCAGCTTCTCATCCACTGTAACCCCTAGGTCCTTTTCTGCAGAACTGCTGCCTAGCCATTCGGTCCCTAGTCTGTAGCAATGCATGGGATTCTTCCATCCTAAGTGCAGGACTCTGCACTTGTCCTTGTTGAACCTCATCAGATTGCTTTTGGCCCAATCCTCTAATTTGTCTAGGTCCCTCTGTATGCTATCCCTACCCTCCAGTGTATCTGTCACTCCTCCCAGTTTAGTGTCATCTGCAAACTTGCTGAGGGTGCAATCCACGGCATCCTCCAGATCATTAATGAAGATATTGAACAAAACCGGCCCCAGGACCGATCCTTGGGGCAGTCCGCTTGATATTGGCTCTCAACTAGACATGGAGTCATCGATCACTACCTGTTGAGCACGATGATCTAGCCAGCTTTCTATCTACCTTATAGTCCATTCATCCAGTCCATACTTCTTTAACTTGCCGGCAAGAATACTGTGGGAGACTGTATCAAAAGCTTTGCTAAAGTCAAGGAATAACACGTCCACTGCTTTCCCCTCATTCACAGAGCCAGTTATCTCATCATAGAAGGCAATTAGGTTAGTCAGGCATGACTTGCCCTTGGTGAATCCATGTTGACTGTTCCTGATCACACTTTCCTCTCCTCTAAGTGCTTCAGAATTGATTCCTTGAGGACCTGCTCCATGATTTTTCCAGGGACTAAGGTGAGGCTGACTGGCCTGTAGTTCCCCGGATCCTCCTTCCCTTTTTTAAAGATGGGCACTACATTAGCCTTTTTCCAGTCATCCGGGACCTCCCCCGATCGCCATGAGTTTTCAAAGATAATGGCCAACGGCTCTGCAATCACATCCGCCAACTCCTTTAGCACCCTTGGATGCAGCGCATCTGGCCTCATGGACTTGTGCTCGTCCAGCTTTTCTAAATAGTCCTGAACCACTTCTTTCTCCACAGAGGGCTGGTCACCTCCTCCCCATGCTGTGTTGTCCAGTGCAGTAGTCTGGGAGCTGACCTTGTTCGTGAAGACAGAGGCAAAAAAGCATTGATTACATTAGCTTTTTCCACATCCTCTGTCACTAGGATGTCTCCCTCATTCAGTAAGGGGCTCACACTTTCCTTGACTTTCTTCTTGTTGCTAACATACCTGAAGAAACCCTTCTTGTTACCCTTAATATCCCTTGCTAGCTGCAACTCCAATTGTGATTTGGCCTTCCTGATTTCACTCCTGTATGTGAGCAATATTTTTATACTGCTCCCTGGCCATTTGTCCAAGCTTCCACTTCTTGTAAGCTTCTTTTTTGTGTTTAAGATCAGCAAGGATTTCACTGTTAAGCCAAGCTGGTCGCCTGCCATATTTACTATTCTTTCTACACATCGGATGGTTTGTTCTTACAACCTCAATAAGGATTCTTTAAAATACAGCCAGCTCTCCTGGACTCCTTTCCCCCCTCATGTTATTCTCCCAGGGGATCCTGCCCATCGGTTCCCTGAGGGAGTCAAAGTCTGCTTTTCTGAAGTCCAGGGTCCGTATTCTGCTGTTCTCCTTTCTTCCTTGTGTCAGAATCCTGAACTCGACCATCTCATGGTCACTGCCTCCCAGGTTCCCATCCACTTTTGCTTCCCCTACTAATTCTTCCCTGTTTGTGAGCAGCAGGTCAAAAAAAGCTCTGCCCCTAGTTGGTTCCTCCAGCACCAGGAAATTGTCCCCTACACTTTCCAAAAACTTCCTGGATTGTCTGTGCACCGCTGTATTGCTCTCCCAGCAGATATCAGGGTGACTGAAGTCTCCCATGAGAACCAGGGCCTGTGATCTAGTAACTTCTCAGTCTGAAAGTCTTTTAGAGCACCTTTACACTTGCTTTTAATTCAAAATTATTCTCTCCCCCTGGCCAGGATGCATTTACTTATTTTAACTTGGTAACTGTATTGGTTAATATCCTAGTCACTTTAGGATACAACTGATACAACTTAAAGTATCTAAAATAAATTTGAATCATATCCTATTGGTTTCAGAAGTTTGAAGAGCAACTGTATTTCCATCTTTTGTATAGTGTATGAATGTTAAGGCGCTTTTGTAGACCACATCAAATGTCTGTTGAACATTATACAATATTTCCAAATAAACACGAAGGGAAGCCCCAAAGGCTTTCCATTCTTTATGCCAATATTTTGCTCTCAGGGCCCTCAGCTGTGAGGCAAACCATGAAGATCCAAACATTGGTTTCAGTTTACATTTCTGCAATGGAACAATATTATCCAAAACACTAGAGTGAATTGTAGAATGCCTGGTTTTAGTAACATTTCTCACCAGTCCACAGGGGAAGTCAGCTTTAAGAGTAGGAAGTAAAATTTTGCTGGGCACGAGCAGATGTTCTGGATAATAATTTGTTGAAAAATGAACAACAGATGAGAGTTTAAATGTCAATCAGTAATGATCAGGAGGCCTTCTCTTAGCCTTTTGGCTAAAATAAAGCAAGGCATCAGTTTAATATCTCCTATGTCCTCTATCTGGGGGACTATATCCTGCATTGGCAAGAAGGAGAACTGCATGATCTAATAGGTCTTTTCCAACTCAGGCTCCTATGACTGCATAGATTGGAGAGAAAATCAGTCACAGATAGACCAAGAGGAAAGACCAGATGAAGGATATGACCTTTTTGTATTAGAGCAGAAATATGTTGGAAAGTAGTACACTGCATGAAGTGATATCAGATGCTAAGGAATCACAGCTAACATATAGAAAATGCCCCACA